CTTCAACAAGTTGCTTAAGCTCACTGACCTTCTCTCCTTACCTCAGTGAAATAGGAATAGTATATCTAACTTTATAAAATTATTGTGTATAACTAAAAGAAATACTGTAACATGTTAGGCACATGGTAAATGTTTGATTAAATTCTAGTTCCTTTTCTGTACTTCTATACTTTTTTTCACTAGTGGACTACCTAGTGAAGTTGTAGGCAGGGCCAACTTTTCAACAGGAAGCAACTCTGGATGGGTTCAGGTTTTCGAACAGGCACTCTCTCCACCAAACTCCTTAGACTTCTGCACTACAGAGTATTAGAAGAGTTAGTTTCTCTTAAGAAATGGGCCACCATTCAAAGATTCACCAGTGTGAGGGGAAGCATCTCTGTTAGGGCACCTAAAAATGAGTATTATCACAATTCAGTTTGAAAATTTAGTCACATTTGGAGAATCACAATTAAGAGATTAATTTACCCCCTTTCCTTATAATATACGCTGTGGCAAACCTTTTCTGTATGGAGACGGAGAGTAAATATTATAGGCGCTGCTGGCCATACAGGTCAGTCGTAACTATTCAACTCTGCCACTGTAGCCCAGTAGCTACCATAGACAATTCATGAATGAATGAATGCAGCTGAGTTCCAATAACACTTTATTTATAAACGCTGAAATTGGAATTTCATATAATTTTCATGTGTCATGAAATACTATTGTATATTTTTTCAACTATTTAAAAATGTAAAAATTATTCTTAGTTTGCAGGCCATACAGAAACGGGCAGGCCATAGTCTGCCGAACCTTGATATGCACACACTACAAACATGATATACAGTAAAACCTTGGATTGCGAGTAACTTGGTTTTGCAAATGTTCCGCAAGACGAGCAAACATTTCTATTAGGTTGATGCAAAAGTAACCAACCTAATGATACATTGTAACTTGGTAAACAAGCAATGTCTTGCAATATGAGTAGTTTGTTTCCAGAAAGAATTGTGCTCCCTAACCGAGTATTTAAGTTTTATCTATAAGGAACAGTTTTGGGGTTTGTTTATTTTCCCCACCTCCTCTGGTGCTACAATGTATTTTCAAGCAGTTTAGAAGGTAAGGTAATTTCTTACATTTTAATTTCATATGTGGACTAAAAGCTGTAGGTGGATTACTTATATAGGAATATGAAAACACAGACCATAATAAAAACTCGGGGGCCAGCCGAGTGGCTCAGTTGGTTAAGAGCTCACTCAAGAGGGCGAGCTCTGAGCAACAGCTGTTCGATGCCCCGCCTGAGCTGAGCTGCTGCTGAGCTGCCAACAGGTGGCAGGATGGCTCAGCTAAAAAAATAAATAAATAAAAAGTTAAAAAAAACAACAACTCGGGGTAC